CCCCCCCAGCTCCCCAGAAGTAGGAAGAGCTAACAGTTTGGTGTGTGATGCTTTCAGATTTGAACCTAGGTGCCCAGAGCTTACATTCACTAATGTTCTGTGTAGAAAAGCAAGATCAGACCACACCAAGGTCACCCAAGAGCCTATGGAGAGCTCGGCTTTTGTGTTTCATGTGCCCATAAGTATATCTGTGCGCACATACCCGTGGTGGTTGTGCGTGTGATCTCTGGGCTGTAGACGGCCAGCCATACTCTGTGTGGCTCATCTGGTCTTTAACATTCTATGAGTCAGCTGCCAACATTCAAACATCAGGATATTTCACATAAAAAATCTGAGGTCTGGCTAATCTTGAGAAACAGGAAGACCTGCAAACACAAAGGCACATTTTTCTGGGATAACAACTGGCCAGATGTGGGTAGTAGCAGCCCCACTGGACACATAATGTGCTGTTTGCTACACCCCCAAATTCGCCCAGCTTCACTTAAACTTGCATTCCCTGCCGGTCCCTATAGGCAGGTAGTTGCTTTTACAGCTCCGTTCACTGAGTATCAGATTTGAGAACTAGGAATGGTATAGACAGGGCGACCTCCAGTGAACTGTCCGGACCGGGGCACTTTGAGAGTAAAAAGGGGTGCTGTGAACAGTCACCCCAGGACAGTAGGCGTAAACCGGGACTGTCCCAGACAAACCAGCCATGGTCTTCTACTTACAGACCACTTCCCTGACTAATGAGAAAACTGAGACCGAGGAGGAGGAAGTGATTTGCCCGTAGCCATCGCCAAGGAGCCCGTGGCAGAGCTGCCTGGGCACCGGCTCCCCGTCCACTGCTTCTCCATCGGGCATGCTCTGTATGACGCGTGTGCACCACGAATGTCTGGGCTTTTTACAGTTCATAGTTATCACGTAGCCGATTCCCGTGAGAGCATACACACTTGCAGCTTATATCACCAATAGTATTTCCATTATGAATGCAATTAATGACATGTCTAGAGATGTTTAAAACAGTGGTAGGCTTGAGAAAGAGAGTAAATGCAAGAAAAGCTCATTTTACTAGATACAATAAGATATATTTAGAAGTGATGATAGCTCCGATTTTTTAAAAAAGTAAGTCTCAGATAACTGGCTTGCTGACAACACTGTATATTGATTTCTTGATCATTGGCTATTGGCTAGTAATTAATATTAATTATGTCTTTAAGAGATGTCCAAGATCCCAAGTTCCCAAATCCTTAGCCAGCTGTCTATTGCCTTGTTGAGTTTCCAAGAGATATTTGTACAGAGGATACTCCAGAGGAGAACAGTGCATGCTCTTAACCACGTGCTCAGACCATGGTCCCAAGCCCCAGCCTGGCCTCCCGTCCTAGAAAACTGGACTGGAGCACATGGGAGCCATAGAGGCACCTCTTACTCTCTCATGAAGGCTTAGGCTGAAGACTGGCCTGAGGACTCTCCCTGAGGATGCCTTTCCAGTACCTCGTGTGGCTCTCACATGTCCCTCCGAGAGGCCTTGCAAGCAGCAGGCCATTCTGAACACATCAGCTGCACAAGATGAAATGCAGATAGAAGGAAGCTCTTTTTGCCCAAAAGCAAACCAGAGCTGGCCTAGGGCACCCACTCCATGCTTCCTATCCCTTGGAATGTACTCTGGTCCCAGTGAACTTTTCAGATGTGGGACCATTACGCAGGAGACATGACCAGGACACTGTTACCACACTGGCCTTGCAGAGTTGAGGAAATCCAAGGAGAAGCAAAGTGAGCCAAGATCCCTCTTCCCCGCCTCCCTGACAGTGTGATCGGTGTGGCACCCTCCCCGGCTGCCTGGACGCGCTCCCTCAGAGCTGCTGTTCTGTGGGGAGCCCGAGAGAGGAGGACAGCTGTGACTTTTTGAGTCAAAATATAAACCACACACGTGGGTGATTTTCCTCTACCCCACCTCTACAGACTTCAGCAGGGAGGGTTGTTTTCCAAATGAACCAAATTCATGTGCCTGAAACACCCCTATAGTGTCGAGGGGATCTGCTGAGCCTCCGAAGTGTTCACATTTTGGCTATATTGGTATAAGTGAAAAAATCATTAATTTCATTCTTTTTAAATTTTTTATTCATTACTTTTTGAGAGAGAGAAAAACATCTGTTTGCTCTTCCACTTATTTATGCATCATTGGTTGCTGCTTGAATGTGGCCTGACTAGAGGTCGAACCCGCAACCTTGGTGTGTCAGGATGACGCTTTAACCAACTGAGCTACCTGACAAGAGCCTCTTTTTAGCTTTTTTAACGTGATACTAGAAAAGCTAAAGCGGCCCATCGCTCACACTGTGTCTCCCGGACAGAGCTGTTCGGACGCGATGTCGCGCATAGTGAAGTAGCACTCGGTACCAGTGACCCCCCGCACCCACGTCTGAATGGAGGCAGCTGGCGAGCTGTTGGCTGGTGGCCCTCGGTCCGCAGACCCCATGTGGTCGGGATGTCGGGTGCGGGGCAGAAGTCCCAGCGGGGCCTTGGCAGTGACTCTGATGTGGGAACATGGTGCGAGCTCTGGGTGCTGCTTCCTGCACGTGAGGCCAGTCACCAAGGACTGACCTCGCGCTCGCCCTCCGGTCACGC